TCTAACAAACTAACTACAATAAGAAAAATCTAGAAGAGGCTAGAATCTGGTGCTGTGAATGTGAGCTGAGGGCATGCTGAACATGTGAGCTGGTGTGCTGGAAATTTCTGTTGATCCATGTGCTGAGAGCTGGAGATGCAATTCCAACAGTTATTAATAAACATCGTTTCCTCTGCAATTTTCTTCTTTCTTCTTTACTTTAATCTTGTCTTTTTTCTTGTGATCTTTGTTATTTCAATTTGTCATTAATCTTAATTCCTGCGTTCGAAATGATTTTTCCCAACAATTAGATCTTCTTCATACTTGTTAAGAATCTCATTTTTCTTTTAGAATCTTTTTTGATAATGCAGGCTGATGTTGATAATAGTGGAACCATAGATTACAAGGAGTTTGTAGCAGCAATGCTCCATCTAAAGAAAGTTCAGAAAGAGGATCACATGTTCGTAGCCTTTTCATATTTTGACCGAGATGAGAGTGGATACATCACCCATGATGAGCTTCAAAAAGCTTGCGAGAAATTTGGTGTTGGAGATGTTCATCAACTAGAAGAAATCATCCGTGAAGTCGATCAAGATAACGTATATTCTCAATCTTTCTTTTCCCCTTAGCACATTTGAACTTATTTGCATAGATCTTTATGGATAAAATTACTAGAAATGTAGAAGAAAAATTCTATCTCAAACTCTTTTCCCTCTCCAGGCTGGTCGAATTGATTACAGTGAATTTGTGGCAATGATGCAAGATATTGATTTTGGAATAAAAGGATTGTCAAAAAGCTGAACGATGTGGCTAAGAAATGCTCTTAAGCCGGATCATCACTGAAAATATCTTGTCTAGTACTACGTATTACCAGGAAAACAAAATTTGAGTGCTTTTCGATTGTAAAGAAAATATTAGTGAGGATCTAGATATGTATAGTGAGTTTTCTTGTCCCTATTAGTGCGTTCATTTTGTATCTTTTGTTTGGTAATTGGTTTGTTCTTAGTCTTGAAAATTGGGTTATAATTCTATATATTCTTTTCCAATTATTTTTATTTATCTTTTCCAGCCATTTTGAGTGACCATTTTAGCTTGAAGTTATTACAACCCAAACATTGCTTTTGACATTGTCATACTATAAATTGTGATTATAATACCTTGATAATTATATAATCTTGAACTTGTAATTTAGGCTTATAAGCAGATAATATATACATCTTTTGGCTCAAGATATTATTGATTAATTTTGCCAACCATGAAATATCACAAATTACTTAACATGCCACATCATATTTGTAGGTAAGCAATTTATGCTTCTTGTACAAAAGTTGAACCGGTAGAATATATTTCATCCGGCCAATAGAAACAAGACTTTGCTAGTGGTACATAGAGGTGTACCTAAGGGGTTACACCCCTTCACATGGGGGTATGACCCACTTAAATAACGAAATATTTTATGCAAGTGGGTTCCACCTCATGCGAGGGGGTGTAACCCCTTAAGTACATCTTCTGATGTACCACTAGCATTATATATAGAAATATGTAAAAATTGCTCTATTTCACTTAGTATTTAAAGAGTCATTAGTCCTAGCCCCCGTTTAACAACTATACTTTTGAAAAATAGAGTTTTGGACAATAATTTTTCATGAGAATGTGGGGTTAAAAAGTTGGGGAAAATTTTAGGTTACATGTAAAATATTTTATTGTGTGAATATTTGATTAAAAATAAGTCTCTGTTTGAACCACATTCTCATTTTCATTTTCATTCTTCTACTCATTCTTCAATAAAATAATATTTTTCATCACATCAATAATTTTTCCTTCTTTTTCAACCACAGATTCACCATCACAATAAAAAATGCATTCTTTCTATTTTAATGTGTATCAAACACACTTTGAGTACGTAAAAAAAAAAGTTTGAAAAGCATGACTATCGAACAAGATTTACCAGCTGGGTTACTCCCAATTGGGAACGTGGAGTTCCACTTAAGCCCTTTTTACTGCAGAGATAATACAAAGAAAAATGTCATTTCACTTGCTTTCTAATATCTTATCTACTACAAGTAGTTACATTGAATTGAATTCCGACCTTATATAGAGATTTACAGCACGGTGAAGAAGCGCCAAGGAAATTGGATCCAATGCTACGGTTTGGTGCCGTTATTCCTATTTCTTCATATTCCTCCCTCACTTGTTCCTGCATCAACAATCATCCCCACCACCCCACCTCTCTCTCTACTACGCTGGTACGAAAGCCCTGTCTCCCT